ATTTTTCTCTCAGTCTCGAGATATTTCATTTCACACATATTTTATTTTATTTTTAATTCAATTTAATATATTTTTCAATCTGATTCAAATTGATTTTTTATTTAAATTTAATTCTCTATTTTATTTTGTTTTTTCATGCTGCACGAGTCGTGACGCCGCGAATTCTCGCTGGTTATCAGCGTAACTCAAAATAGATTATTAAAAAAAATTATCTTATTTTTAATGCAATTTAACATGTTTTTCAATTTAATTCAAATTGATTTTTTATTTAAATTTAATTCTCTATTTTATTTTGTTTTTCACGCTGCATGAGTCGTGACGCCGCGAATTCTCGCTGGTTATCAACCTAACTAAAAATAGATTATTAAAAAAAATTATCTTATTTTTAATGCAATTTAATATGTTTTTCAATTTAATTCAAATTGATTTTTTATTTAAATTTAATTCTCTATTTTATTTTATTTTTTACGCTGCACGATGCTGCGGCTCCTCGCTGTTTTCTACTGTAATTAACAATGGGAAAATTATGCAGCTCATCAGACCGAAGACGGCACCGGCGCGCAGACGTAAGTCGGAATTACATAATAGGACGGTGTCCGCGACGACGATCCGTCGTCGCGCGCATCCGCGACATAATTCGCGATTAGGCAGGCACCTCGTCATTATGCGATTTAACCAGACGGAACGTACGTGACTGCGCGTACGCTCGCTTCCTCGTGTTCTTCTATTTCTTCTTATGTTTCCCTCCGGTTTCGCTGGAATGTCGCGTGTCCGATTTATCCGTCATCGTCTGTCGCAGCACGCGACACAGCTTCGGCGGCTGCGAGAGGCTCGTGTTCCATCTTGTAACTCCCCTGCGTCACTTCCGATATTCGTCACCCGGTCTGGCGATGTTACATCACTCCGTTTAAGGACGCCAGACCCGGATTTCCGGCATTTACTTTCGCGCACGTGTCCCCTTATCGATTTGCGCTTCGGTATTTCGGGCATGCGGCTCTATGCCGGTGCGTAGTATCTCCGACTAATCGCGAGGTCGCGAGAAATTATAGCTTCGCCATTTCTCCCCGCGTCCGTATCTCCTTGATTGGCGAGAGATCCTTCGTTCCAAATTTCGGCAGTTTTCTGAACAATTGAACGCATTTGGTCTCCCACACGCTCCTCGATCTAAAAATGCGCACACAGCAAGTTTATACGTCTAGCTTAGAAGTTAAAAAAAAAAGTGCGCTTGCATTCCTTTCCGACAGCGTCTCTGTCTTGCGCTCGCGAAATATCGAAAGTCAAGAGAGCCAAACGGACGGCAATTCCGTGGACCAAACGCGGGGGGCGAGGGGACGTCGTAGGAAGGAAGGGGGAGAGGGAGAGAGGGACGACAGGGAGAGATCTTCCCAATCTCTTCTCCGGCGATTTGCGTGTTCCCGATAGGCGGGTATCGGGTTTAAAATGACTGGCCGGTCGAAGACGATTGCGTTGCGCGCGTGGGTGCCGACGCGCGGATTGCGCAATCCGCTCCGAAATTCAAATCCCGATTCCACGAAGCGATCAGAGAAGCGGGAAGGCGGACCAAGAGAGTAGTATCCCCTGACGGAACTCGAGAGGAGACCTTATCTCGATTGCCGTCTGCCTCCGTTCTCTCGCGGCGAAAGACGTCGACGAGGGCCGAGAGTGGCCGGAGAGACGGAGGAGACCATGCAAATTGCACGATTTCCATTTCTTTTTCGTTCTGTTTCTCCGCCTTCCCCCGTGCGCCCCCCTTCCCTCCTCCCCGATCTCACTGCTACCACACCGCTACCACCGCCGGCCGGCTCGCGGGCCCCGCCGGTCCGATCGGCGATCCGGCCAGCGTCGGTGGACCTTCTTTTTTTACAATTCCGATCGGGGGAAACGGGCATAAGGCGGAATAATTTGGCGCGCGTGGGCAGAGCGTCTTAAATTCTCACTTGGACGTCCCCCCTCCTGACCCTCCGGTGAGGTAAGGAGAAGAGAGAACGAGCAAGGGGCCGAGGGGAACGGAGACTCTGTCATTAGGGAAGGCGTATCTCGGATGCATCACGTCGCGACTCTCGACGCCAGGTGAGACGACGTTCCCCGACGACGTCGTGAGGCCCCCCCGTGTTTACGCGCTGCTTTTTCTGCGGCGATGCCTCTCTCGTTCTTCCTGTCCCATCATGTTGTCCGCATCATCGCCGGGAAGCCGACGCCTCGTACATTATCCTCCCTCCCGGACTATGAAAACAATTCCGAGAAACACCGGTCGCCGGTGTTATGCCGGTTATTTGCGATCGCGTCGCGAAAACTTCGCCGGAGCGCGCGCACCCATCATCGACTTTTTTCGCACGACCTAATCCCACCGATGGTGTCGTGGCGGACTTGCCGTGACTTTAGGGCCAATCCAGATTCCGTCGTAGACCGACCGGTCTGTCTACGGGGCCGAAATCCCCGCGAATTAATCGGTGTCGCTTGCGACCAGTTTGCGAAGGGACTCCTCCGCCGTGACCATCACGCAGCGACTCGAGTCACAAATGCGCAGATTCTCCACTACTGTCCGGTCCTACGAGTCAATCCTTTGGCCGACTCGCGCGAAACATCATCAATCTCCGTCAGACGCTCCGGCACATAACACGGCTAATCTCTTGCGGCTTTGCGTAATATTCGCCACGTTACACATTCGGCCACGACGTCCGCCGTTCACGGTCCCGTGACGCATTGAGCGGAAGGACTCGTGGGTATCTCTCGGTCTCTGTCCCTCCGTAGGCATCCCCCATGAGCCAACGAGGCTGGGAGACGCGCCACGGACAAGGACGACGAACGAGCGCGTTACAAGTGCGAACAACAATTTCACTTGGCGAGGCGAGGCCCCGCGTTATTTATTTTGGTACGTCTAGACGCGCGCCAGATTGTCTGTCCGCATGTCCGATCCGCGACGGAGAATTCGGTGGTGACGTCAGACAGCCGTTGCACCCCGGCCGCCGCTGCCGCCGTCGTCGTCGTCGTCGTCGTCGTCGTCGTCGTCGTCGTCGTCGTCGTCGTCGTCGTCGTCGTCGTCTTTCGTACACGGGATCAAATTGCATTGTGTGTGTCTCTCCTTCACTCACCCTATAACCCTCCGACTGCGCTGTGCGCAGTTAAGCCCGCGTGTCTGCACGCCCGCGCGTGATCGCACGTGGATACTTTATATACCCGACGTGTCTTCAAAGTCTAAGGGCCGGTTTCATCGACAACGTCGCTTAACTTTAACCTCAGCTTAATTCGTTCTTTGTCTCTCTATCTCTCTTTCTCTCTTCTCTTCTCTCTGGGGTCAGAGCGAGAGAAGTGGCTGTAGTTGAACCGATTCAACCGTCTCCACCCGAGACTAGAGCTAGAAATAGCCAGTTTCACTAACGTCGTTTAATTTTAACCGCGCGTCGGCTGACATTTGGCCTCTTTCTAGTTCTAGTTCCAGAAAGAGACCGACCACATCTCCTGAGATCGCCGTCGTATCTTTTGTTAATCGGGCCGCACATGGCGAGTTAATGTTAATCGTCGCGACGCGAGGAGACGGTCTCGCTCGTGTCGTCCTTCGTTAGTCGAGGCTCGTACGAATGGGAGCGATTTGAGACGGGGCCGATGATTACGGACGTATTTAAGAAGAGGCACATTCAGTCCCCGTAGAGAAGTCACGCGCGTCCACACGCACGTAATTTAAGCGTGCACCGTGTACGTGTGAGATCGAGCACGAGGTATACGTGGGAAACGTGTGTGCGTGTCCGGGACACCGCAATGCACTTCCTTCGACACACGTGGCCCCCCACCAGACACCGTTGTCGGCCAGGCTGGGTTTCAACAGGGGTGAATAAGTGGTTACGTCGTTTGGTCCCGATTCATCGATTTGTTTACCGCTAGCATTCCACTCCTTTTCCTTGCATAATCGTCAGCCGTCTCTGACAACTTTGCGAGTCGAACTGCAGAAAAGATGAATCGCATTTGTTCTTCTAACGACGCGTTACCCCATCCTGCATACATCATCTTATCATTATCTTGGGTTTATATGTTTATCTTTGTTTCTTTTTCTTTCATCCTTTATCTACTATATTCTTTATCTACTATATTCTTTTTCTTTATCTACTATATTCTTGCCGTCGGCGTGTGTTGCTACGCATCGTATTTTCACGCACGCACGCAGAGGCTGCATTTATCTGCATCGATAACTCTCTATCTAACTCCAGCAGCGACGTTCTCAGAGGAAGCGCTCTAGGAGGAAAATAAAATTATCTGTCTATCTATCTATGCATATGTGACAGAGAGGTCTATGTCGGGAAATATATAACACAGAGATATAAGAACAATGGTTTCTTCTTTGATCGATGGTTCAAAAATATTGGTAGTAGTCGATACGCTAAAAGCGTTATACGTCGAAAGAAAAACGCTGCTGTTAAACGCTGCGGAATTTTCGTGAAAATAGCACTCGCGACTTCTCAACGAGGATCCCTCGATACTGTGTTCTGTTGTGTCGAATTCACAGATTCTGTCGGGTCCAATTCGCAGATTTGATCGCGTCACAGCAATTTGCGTTAAGCTGGATACAAAAGTACGGATTTACGAGCTCACTCGGGGGCGTATCTATTCTTAATTCCGTCCAGATTTCTCATCTTTGGAGAGAGAGAGAGAGAGAGAGAGAGAGAGAGAGCGCACGAATCAGTGTCGTCGTTCTCGTGGAAATAGTTTATAGATTGCGTTGTCGTCTCAACTGTTACGATATTTTCAGAGAAAATATTACTATCCTCTATTGATTTCAGAAATTACGATTCCTCAGATCGATATTCTGCTCCTCGAGTTTCGGTTTTCTTTTATTTTGTTCTTTTTTTCGGCACTTCGCGCGTCCAGCGGATTCTCGCCGTCGGCGTGTGTTGCTACGCATCGTATTTTCACGCACGCACGCAGAGGCTGCATTTATTAAAAGCGATACATTATGATTCAAAGATCATATCTTTCGATTCGTCTAGACAGCGGAGAGGGAGACACCCTATAAAGTCGTACGTGGCTGCCCCTGAAACGACCATCCGAACACGACGAGCCTCCTTGCACATTTCTCTCGTCAGACCTCGTGCGTCCCCGTCGTATACATTCCCTCTTACCTGTTCTTTCTTTTTTTTATCTTCATTTCTTTCGCATTTCGTCGCAACGTTCTTCGAAGCCGTTCAATCAGACAAACTTTATCTCGCCGAATGGCCGAGACTTCGTGGAAAGAGACGAAGAGGAGAGAAACTCTTTCTCTTCCCGTTCCTCTCTCGAATTGATCGAAATATTCGCGACCGACACGGTACCGCGCCGCTGAAAAGGATCGTCGTGTGATCGATCGACTTTGAGTAGACTTTCAGTAAGAGATCGGTTTTTGGCAGCCCAACGCGCTCGCGTGAAGTGTCATTTGCAACTGCGGCGAGAGAAGGAAGAATTTTGGACGATCAATTCGCAAGAAGGATTTGGACGTAGACATCGGCATGTAGATCTTCAGGTGCGAATGTACAAGGATCCGCGTGGTCTACCTGCCTGTGCGAGACACCGGGCCGACGGTCGGCGGCGAGTGAGATTTGCGAAATTCGAAGTGACAGCAGTCGCGCTCGGATGTGACGCGATAGAAGACGCCCGTGAACGAGAGATCGGGGTAATCGGGAATTTGGTCAGCGGATCAATCCGATTTGGCGCGTTCTTCTGGTAGTCACTAGTCGGAAAGACGGATTCGCGCGCGCCGAAGAGTAAGAACACAAAGAGGAGAACGAAAAAGAGGAGGAAGCGACGGGCGGTGAAGGAAGGGGCAGGAGAAGAAGGAGGTGAAACGTCGCGAGGAGAGAAAAGGCTGTCCTCCGCGGGATTTCGGTGTGCGAGGAAAAGGGGTTACCCAGGTTTGAACGAGTGGAGGAGAAAGAGTGGAGCCGTGAGAGGCGGCGGTGGTGGAGAGAGAGAAAGAGAAAGAGGGAGAGGGAGAGAACGGGAGAGAGACGGATAGAAAGAGAAGAAGAGAGAAAGAGAGATAGACGGAGAGAGAGAGAGGAGGGGAGGAGAGGGAAGAAAAAAGGAGTCATCGTAGTAACACCGGCGCGTCTCCTCTCGCGGCTTCGTGGTTGTCTCGGAATTAGTGAGTAGACAGAATTATGTCTGTGAGCTGGCCAGAGCACGGCTCAGTTGAGACTTACTGCTCAGAGCGTACACACGCATACTACGAATCCTTCCTACTTACGCACCTCGCGCCTTCCTCGTGCGATTAGAACTTAGTCCGCGACCGTCTGCAGACCAATCACGGTCCAGTTCGCTAACGCGCCTCCGTACGAAACGGTTTCCTCGTCTTCACGTGGACGTGCTGTGGAGTTGCCCCGAGCTCGAGAAGCGCCGCAGCTAGGTGACGGAGTAGCTATCACGGAGATCATCGCGACGAGGTGACCCTCTCGAAGAACCCACCCACGAAAGTACGAAGAACCAGGAGACGCGCACTTTCCGTGCCACGGCTGTGGATCGCGCTGACCGTTTCCCTCCGTGATACCGCGAGGTGAGCGAAATTCAAATCGCAAGCGAGGACAAGTCGAATATCGGCCGTTCGGACATTGAGACGTACGAAGAGAGACGAGAAGATCGACGGGAGACGAGGGGGCAAACATTGCCGGTGGTTTACGGCTGCAGAAATTCGGAGATTGCTACGATTTCCGCGACATTACCGCAATTATTTCCAGACTGCGCCCGCGCCAAACTAGTTCCACGAGATTCTCGCGACTCGATATCTCTTCTGCGAGTCGGTTCGATTGAATTGGATCATTTTCTTGTAGATTCAAACAGTTTGGTGAGACACTTTCGAACAGGGCACCATTTGTTCGTTAGCGTTGATTTTAAATAATCTGCGAAATATTTACCGTAAACTCCAGACTCGTTATTTGATCGTTAATTCAGGCGTTTCTTCTTCACTTTCGATTGTATACGAGTTTGATAGATTGTTTTTAATTATCGGCGGAAGTGCGACATTAATTGTGTTCTCTGAGGACGTGTCTTATCCATGTAAAATTTTCACAAAGTCGAAGTTATATTTTCCGAAGAACTTGGAGTGCTGTCGTCGCGATCGAACGGCATCCAGTCGAATTTTCATTAGAGCCGCGACAATGGGCATGGCGAAGTTTTACGCGCTTCTCTTACTGGCGTCCATCGCGACCTGCGCGTGGTCTCACCATCATCACGGATATTATCCGGAGCATAGAAAGGAAAACGGCCACGTGGATTTCGTCGAGCGAGCATCCACTGTCGATGAGACGAGCGAGAAATCTACCGACCACATCACGCGGTCGGAATTACCGAAGAGAGACGAAAAGCGTCCGGACGCCGTGGACGGCAAGGACTTGCCTCCCTTCAGCGCGCGGAGACTCGAGAAAATGCTGGAGAAGGCGATACTGAAGATAATCACGGGCGATCTCAGCACGGCCGACATGCTGCTGCTCAAGAGCTTGAACTACACCTTCGAGGAGATACTGGCGATCCGCGAGCAGGAGTTCAGCCGGCGAAAGGACGAGGAGAAAACAAAGAAGTTGTACGACTCGATGGTGATCGAGTCGTCCTCATCCAACGACCCCGACGTCGAAGTGTCGAAGAGCGAGAGGAAGAAGAACCGATACAAGGAGCAGGCCTCCTACGACGACTTCGACTTCGACACGTACAACCGACAGGCGGTGATCGATTACGAGAACCAGGCCTCCAACCTCGAGCAGCAGCAGTCGTGGCCTGAACAGGCGGTTGTCGATTACGAGGACGAGTCTAAGAGCTCAAAGGAGCAGGACCAGTCACGAAACTTGCGTCGGAACTTCGACCGCGCCATGGAGCCCCACGTGATCTTCAAGATCCGCTATGACGATTCCGAGTTCGATTCCAGTTCCGGCTCCAACGAGAGGCCGAGATTTCGGGACGCCTTCGTCTCGAAGGATCTGAAACATCGCGCCCCCTCGACCTTGAGACACACGACCTCCAAGAACGTTGCTAGCTCCTTTCACGCTTCGTCTTCCTCTCCATCTTCTTCTTCTTCTTCTTCGCCTTCTTCCTTGACTGTTGGATACACTCCACTTCCCGTAGTATATCAGATGAGGAATCTCAGAGACGTCAAGCCAGATTTCCTCAAGAACCAACATTCCATCGCCATGATGGCGTCCCCGGAACCTAACGATACTGTTATTATAAATACCACACTTAACGCCACTACCTCCGACGCGACAACGGATTCGATGAACGATAGTAATTCATCCGTCCACGATGAGTCCAAGAAGAAAATCAGCGAATACGAGGGGCTGGAGTGGGTCGAGGACGATGTCTACAGGGTGATACCCTCGTTGGCGGACTCGTTGGGTTACGAAGACGCCGATGAGAACGGAACATCGGACTATGAGGAATCGAACTTGGCCTACCTTCCGGAGGAGAACGAAAACGACACCCTGGAGTATCAGAACGACACTCCGGTGAGGCTCTTCAATCTCAACACGTCCATGGAGAGAATGCCGTTGACGAATCAGTCCGCCCGTCACCAAATGGCGCTCGTTCATCGTCAAAAGTAAGTCCAAACGAGAAAACAGTTGTTCATGGTACGGGAATAGATGCATAATCGCTAAAAACAATAATGTCCGTCGTTACTGATCACTGTAGACCTATAGGCAGCTTCAGTAGACCCGGTCTGGGTCCCCCGATGATCGCGCGCTTTCTCACGTGTCCCTGGCCACCTGTCTATTAAATATCATTCACCACACGCTTCGCTTTCTGCAGAAACGCAAACCTAGTATTTACAGCATGTAGTATTTACATGTACTTGTATTTGCAACACGTAGTATTTACAAGTACTTGTATTCACAACATGTTGTATTTGCAACACGTGCTTCTTTTAGGCGAAACGTAACCTCAAGCTTCGGCAGGTAAGCCTCTCTGAAGGCCCTCATGGGTAAGAGTTCGATGTGCCGTGCACTTTTCTCGATTAGTCACTTTTGCTCATTTGGATCGCTGCTTGGCCGCGCGTCGATGCATTTCTCTCGTCGTGTTTCGCATGGCTGCACGCCTTTGCAAGCCAAGTTGATAGTGCGTTTTCGCCCGCGTCTTGGGAGAGATGCGTCCGCACGATTTCCGTTGACGCCGCGCTTTGCTAATTTGAGCAGTATGTAAGCACATAATTCATCCGCGTTCACCACGTGGTGTGACGGCGGCTCCCGGCGGCTCCGATGTCAACAGGAGGTTGCGAAAATCTCGCTCGTGTATGTTATTCGCAGCAATTCGCCCCACGCCTCCCGAGTCCCCGTTCCTCACTCTCTGCTGTGCGATCCCATTGCATCGTCATACGCATTCTCACGACGCAAGAGACTGTTGTTGCGAATCTTGCACAATCGATGCCGCGGAGCAATTCCAATCTCGAGGAGATCGCGATCAGATACATACGGCGAAGGGTCGCCGTGCTCATCTCTCATGCGAATTCGTGGTCGCAACGCGCCAATTAATTCTTTTTTTTTGTAGAATTAAATTAAAGGCTTCAAGATATACGATCAAACACGTGAGAGGAAGGACATTTGAGATCTTAAACACAAGTCTGTGTAGAGATTTAATTATCTCTATGCAACAAAATCCGTGTTTAGACTCTTAAATGCCCTTCCTCTCATGTGTTCATTCTTTTCTCTCTGTTATAGAGAGCGCACGTGCGCGTTATCATCATTCGTCTCGTATACATTTGTAGTATTCGATGCGTTATGCACGAGGCGAGAATCCGATGTCGACGGCGACGACGACGACGACGACGACGCTCGACAACGGCCGGCATCGGCGCTCTCAGCAAAACGTTGCCCCCGTCACGTAAAAATATCTCGATGGACCGATAAAAGTTCGGGGGAGAGGGGGGAGGGGAGAAAAAAGCGAAAAAATGCGACAAGTGCGTGCTCAGGGAAATTCCGCGCTTTAAGATCTTCCTCCACGTTAAGTAGATAATACTCGGCGCGTTTGCCACTCGATCCGATTTTTACTCGTTCAACTACGTCACAGAGACGACGCAAATGACGTTTGCGCGACGAGGGACGTCTTTATAATGTCTCGCTGCGAGACACAATTGTGCAGAGACGCGCATCGCGCGGACCCGCGCGAAAAATCGTATCGTGGTAACCTCTGAATTCCAGGACGACCGAGAGCGAGAAACCATTCGCACGAAAATGAAGTGGCCGAGTCGCCGTGCGTTTTGCGCGGATAAATCCGAAATCGTAAGGCGCGATATAAAGTTTTCGCGTGGGACAGGTTTAGGACAAGCGCTCACCAGTCAGGAAGGATACGCGGTGGAAATTCCGCTGCGGTCTCTAGCTGTGTTTTTAAATCGCCCTCTCCCGCTTCCCCCCACAGCCGCTCGCAGCCCCACTCGTGCGGGTGCGCGGGCGTTTCTTTTATTTTATTAAGTCTAGACGCGTAAATGCATTCGTGCCGGCACTGGCGTAGCCCGTCTCGAGAGTCCTCCGCGCGTGCTGTTGCCGATGCATTTGTGCCTCGCACGATCGTGCACGCGGTTGCATCGGATCCTCCGGCTATTATCCTCCTCCTCGAAGCTTCGTGCGCGCACACGCACCCACCCACACATACACACACACACACACACACACACGTATATAGCGGAATGTCTCCGCTCCTAATTCCTTATCCACCGGTTATCGCTCTGGTATCGCGAATTTTTATACGATCCCGTCTGCGTTACTGGTCGCGCGCAGACTACGAGATTTGAAGCCGCGTCGGAATTTCTTCTCGATTGCATACTCGATTTGCCTTATCTTAAGTGCCAGTCTGCCTCCGTCCTGTAATTGTTTTACGATTAGCGATTCTCCCTCGAGCGCGCGATAAGCGTGGAACGTTGGATGAAACGGCGACAGGGAGTAAAAAGGAAGGTGAGGAACGGGAAGATGTCACGTCTGGGCGTCTGGAGCGACAAGTCTTGGGCCTCTCTCGCGACGGGACACAATAGGAGCTCGAGAAGCGACGACGACGACGACGACGAGTGTCGTCTCTTCTCGCGCGATTCAAGCCGCCGAGACACCGAGTTGAGCACCCCCGTAATCGCCGGGTGTCTAGTCGGGCTGCAGTTAGAACTCTCTTACGAGGTTACGTAACACATTTCAATTTAATGCGTTGACCTTGTCTATGCGTCTCTCTTCCTATGTCGACGAAGACGGAGTGACGGTGCGCGCGACGAGGAGCGAGGAGGAAGTTTTCGCTGGTGATCCCCTCGGTCCACCGTTCTCCTCCCTCCGCGCCTCCTGCATCCCGCCGCAGCCGTCGCACCGCCAGACGGTGCAATGTGCATTTTTACGGACGGCCCAATCAGGCCGCCACGCTGGTTACGCGTTGTCGGCCTATCGCGAGGAACCGTTTTACGCTATTCTGTCTCTCTTTCTTTCTCTCTCTTTTTCTCTATCGAATTCTTTTTTCCTCTCTTCCGCCGTCGTTCCCTTTTGCAGGCGCTAACCGACATTCCGACGGGCCGGGCGTTAACATTTTCGCCGGCGACGCGCTAGGCTCTCCCCCGTTTCTCTATCTAATTTCGAACGCTAATGGCCGACTCTCGGCCGTGCTCCAGTGAATTTCATTATCGCGACACCCGGCCTACGACGAACGAGGAGGATCCACCGTGGCCGCCGGTTCTCATGATGCAACGGCCTCCAGACTCTCCAGGTCCTTCCCTTTCCCAGACGGCGGACAGACGTGGCACGTACGCAACGAGCCGGCGCGAAACGCGTGACTTGGCCGCAGCTAGATTAACGAGCATGCCTAGAATCGAACATGAGGGCCCTCGGTTATACCGTACCCGTGATTTCGCAGAAGAGCGCCGTAACTTTTCCCCGCCGTCTCCTCGCGGCAGAGTGGCTGCGACGGTGGGGCCTCACCTTCGAATGATCCTAGACGAAATATATCAAGGAACTATCCACCGGTCGAAACTTCGTTAAGGAATAATTAATATTCACGGTCCCCCCTCGAAAGAGAGCGAGATAGGAAGAGAGAAAAAGATATGGTCCTTGGATGCTGTTGGAGCCAGCATAACGAGCCTCTTAACGACTCCTCCCAGACGGCAGGGAAAAAATGGGACAGACCCGCGGGACTTGAGGACGAGGTCGCTGTCATTGAGAAAATTCTTGTCCCTGTTCATTCCAGCTCTCACGCTGGGGATTTGTTTCTCTCGTGGTAGTCGAACGCGCTCCTTTCTTCTCTCGTCCTTCTCCCCTGTGTCGTCTCCTTCTTTTCTTCTCTTTCCCGTCATTCAGGGAAATGCATTCCTCTGGTTGGCGCTCGGGCAGCCAACGAGGTCGTTGACGTGGAGGCTACGCTGAAATCTTCGAGTGGGCGTCGAACATTGCGGTCCTCATCGATGACGTAGAGAAACGACGCTCATCCTCCTCGTCCTTCTCTTTCCACTTTCGTCCCATTGCCCCGTCGTTCTTTTTACCTATTTCACTAGCCGTTGGTTAACGACTCAGGAATCTATTATGCAATTCCGCGATCCCGATCGATTGTCTTTCGAAACGCGACAGTCGTCGCCGTGTCCGTTGGCGAAGGTTTCGGAGAGACCGTGAGGCCCTGGGCGCGAGTAAACAAGTTCAGTACGAAAAGTATAGAACCGCGAGTCTACACATCGTGATGAGATCTGCAAATTAGAATAGCTCGACTCCGAATAGCGCACGAAGGCGACGGATACGATGCGTCGCGTCGAGGAAAGGCGTGAAATTCGAGTCACGCGAACGCGAACGACCGGCGTCCAGTGGCGAAGAAAAAATCGCCAGCCGAGGTAGGGTGATGCAAATGAGCTGGCCGAGACGTCCTGGGAGTGGACTTAAGATTCGAGACGCGGCTTTAAAAAAGTTAAGGTTCCGAGACCAGACAGAAAGTCGAGGTGATTGGGGTGCCGGTGTATCCGCCGACTGTCTAGCCGCTGTCTGCAACGTGTAATAAATGCCTCCGAGCCGTACCGTGCCTCTGTAGGTCACTGACCATCGTCCGTTGGCCCGCGTCGGCACCCGGAAGAGTTCGCCGGGAACTTGAGGTGAAAATTCCCATGCTGGCGGACGCGAGGCGCCGTTGCACTAGGTCGTCTGAGTCGGGACGTGCCTTTCCGGATCGTGTCCTTCCGAAACTCCACGTACCCAAGTCTGCTTAATTCTCACGCATCGCGCGCTCAAACTCCGCCGATAGATCTGGCCGAACGTTCCGCTAGTATTTAAAACATCTAGAATAGATGTTTAGAATCTCTCTAGCGTCGCTCGGGCGCTCGAGATGTCTGAGTTCCTCGATCTGGAGTGAGCTATTCTGGATCGAATCAGCCGCGAAACACCTTGACACAAATTTTTGTTTTATTGATCAGCGAAGCAGAGAATAATCCTCTGCCGTTTGAACCGCCTTGACTCGAATTTTCGCTTTCTCGGGGATTTCTCTTGAGAAAAACGCTTTTTGCAACATGGTTATTAACGTATATAATAATCGTGGCTTTCACTGACGCGCACAATTTCGCATAGAACTGTGAGATGGATTCGCTTGCGTCTTGCTGCTTCATATCATGTTGAAAGCTTGGCATGACATCATACGTAATTTCACTTGGGCGCTCCGCGTATCTTAATTAACTTTGATCCGTCTGTGCAGTGAGAGTCAGAAGGTAATCGAAGATATTAAGATGCGAATCTTACTGTACACTGGAAAATTGGGTCGCAAGAACAACACCAATGAAGTTGAGCACGAGAAGCTTACCATGTTTTCGCCTACTTGTGAGTAGCTCGATAACTAGGGGTTAATATTATGAATTTAGAATGCGCGTTCCTACTCCGCCGGAACGTTATATTTAGGGGAAACGGGAATAAATGACATTTTATATGTAAGAAAAGAAGGAATACGTGGCAGTGACAGGCTCTCTAGAATGTGCTGAGAAGAACACATGATTCCTTGTAGGTCAAATACCTCGAAACACGGACTTCGAGGCGTGGACGGATCCGTTTTTGATGAACATGCATTTCCAATTGAATCTGACCGCCAGCGATGACATTAAAGCGGCGAAATTGCGGATTTACAAGTTGCCACAGGAGAATCTCACGACCTCCATGAGCGGAGACTTCGGTCAGGACGAGGTTCGCGAGAAGAAGATCAGGATATCCGTTTTTTACTATAAGAAGTCGCTCAAGACATATCGCTGTGAGTGTCTAGACCTTTAGAGCGGGAATCTCCGCAGACGTGTATCTCAAGAATTCGGGGAGATTCCGATTTGTCCGTTTCTCCACAGCGAAAAGATGGCTGATGGACTCGGTCCTGACGCCCCTGACGGCCAAGGGCGGTTATCTGGTGCTGGATGTAGAGGAAGGCTTGAAATTCTGGAGACCGCCTTCGCGAAACTCACATGGCAACGGTAGCAATCACGGCCTGGTGATTCAGGTAGAGCAGCAGGCTGACGAAAAGAAGCTGAAACCGACTCTGTATATCCAGCAGCCGTCCTGCGGTGACCACGATTTGGATCAGAAGGCATGTGAGTGTGTGGCCTAACAATACTAACTCCTTTTTGAGTTTTGGATTGCCCTTGGCAGATTTTTTCTCTCTTTCTTTCGTGTGAGACTAAACAGTGCGTGCAGTAACGCATGGAAACAACAATGTGTTCACGTAAAGAACATAATGATAGATGTTTGCACAGACACACACATATATATGTAGATATTTCGAATAACGCATAACACATAAGTTCCTCCACACATGTTTACGTGCCGGATACATGTTTGCTCATGTGTTCAAGTTTTGTGTTTGAATTTGTGTAACTTGATCGTTCGCTAAAGATAAAAATTAAATTACTAAAGATTTTCTCTCGTAAACTTTCGTATTTTGTTTGCTGTGTGTGTATATATATATATATATATATATATATATATATATATATATATTTGTGTCAGTTTTTAGAAGTTTTTATGTCTCTGGATTCTCGTTCTGAAAATTTGTTCTTTCTTTGTACAGCCCAGCGCATACCTGCCCTCTTCGTTCGAGCCTGTACTCATTACGTTCGTATAGAGAACGGCAAGAAAATCACATATGAAAATTGCAGGCACTAGACAGAGGTGACAAAACGATCGGATCGCAAAACGACCGAACTCGTTTCGACACGAACGAAGCCGACTTAAATTATGTTGTGATCGTCGTTCTCAAAAAACACTTGCCATTAGCAGGCAAAGAGACACACACATGTGCAATTTATTATTAAAATTTAAATTGTATAGGGAATGATGAGGGAGAGAGAGAGAGAGAGAGAGAGAGAGAGAGAGAGAGAGAGAGAGAGAGAGAAAAAGAGAAAGAGAGAGAGAGAGATTACCCCAAAATTTCATTTAGAAATAAGTCCCGCAACAATAGAATGTATAGCATTAGAATCAAAAAATTTGTTATAACAATAGACGAAAAGAGTCTCGTGAAGAAAGTAACAACAATATGAGGCCGATATTCATAGTCGTAAATTATTTGCATCCTTTACGAGAATATAATTAATTATAGATTTGCATTCTTGGGTCGTTAAGTATAATTATAAGAAAGTAACATAGAGACAATATAAATTGAAGAGTAATCAAAGATTCGTGAGATTATTTATCAAATAATGTGACATATTATTATTACCGGCCTGGGAGAGAAGTAGCGGAAAAACACGAATTTTGCCATCGAATCCCGACTATTTTAGCGAAAGGCTGGTACACAGGTAAAGACAGGACCAGAGCCAGAAACACTTCGCTGCCGTCTCCTATGAGAAAAACGCACGGCAGCAGCTTAGCTGTAAAAAATAAAGATAAGATCTTGTAGAAGTTTTCTATGGAGACTGCTATTCGGTATTAACTTAAGAGAAAGAATTATTTATATGCTATAATAGGGTAAGGGGTCACAGTATGATAATTCTTGTACGTTAAAGTACACTATCTCTTCTTTTTAGGTAATCGCATCCATAATGTACATACGATTAGATCTAAAGTAGCGTTGTCGACTACTTATATGCATTCGCCTACAATGTATCAACACGCCCATGACTGATATAGCCACAAATGTGTGTGTAAAAGAGTTTAAGATTATATATTTACATATTTATGTTAAGTATAGTGTTAGATTAATAATTAAGCAACCTGGAACTCTCTGCCGAGTCTATCAGTTGTGGTTGGGTGAATTCGTAGGATATTTTTGCAAGAGCGCGTCGGGGTAATTTTTCCGCATTCGGCCCACGAGGTCGCAATCGGGTTTTTACCTGATTCCCTGCTTGCTAAGGAAAAAAGTCGTCGTACATCGTATATTTCATATGTATGGATAAAAAAGGCATAATCTTTTTTGTCTGACGCTCTCTGCGACACATCGTCGTTGTATATAATGTAAATTTTCATGTCACATTGCGAACAAATAAATTCATTTGCAGTAAGATATACTTAAGGTATGTCCATTTTGTGAGGAAAAATTTCCTCCCCTACTTCGTGTATCTCTCGCAACAGAGTTCACGTCACCGTATAGAACTACACGTGACTGAGGGAGGATTGAGAATGTATGACACAGATTTTCTTAAAAAGGCTTATATTATAGGAAAAAGTACGTTCGGCATGATTTACAATAAATCGACTCATACTGAATCGCCTTTTTTATGACCAGTAAAAAAAGCAAGGGCATTGTTGCTGACGGTTACTTAAATCATATTAATCTAGAAAAAACGCTAGAATATAAGAATAGTCTATACCGATAGTGTAATTCCGATATAGAGTACAAAATACTTGATGCACTTTTGTGTTAATCAGTACATCACTTTGCGGAGAGAGGACATTTCGATTTTGATCTGCAGTAGACAAACGTACGAAGAGTGTTAGTCGTACAGCAGTTTGTAAATATCACAATAACGAATCGGACAATACTTCGTCGTTAACTTAAATTTTCTCCGAAGACAAATGCATCTTATGATCGGGACTTTTCGTTTTTGGGTAACATCAATCAAGATTGATTAGAACTACAGAATCCACAAACCGCGTGATTCCAGCGTGTTGCTTTGCGACTCAAACTGGATAAATATTGGTCAAACTCCACTTGTGGGATTTACAGTACCTCTACTTGCACTTGTTTTGTACCAGAAAATATAAGCTTGTAGAGTACAACTTTACCAACACTCAGTCACCGCACCGTTTGACGGCAGATTTCGTAGAGAAACGGGAACGATATTGTTGAATGAACGGTTTTAACGCAATATTTCCCCGTCGTTAATTCATTGGTTGCCTAATTTGTACCTACTTTTCGACCATCGTCAAAAATACTGCGAAACGCGCGAAAAAATGCCGATAAAATATTCACTTTCTGTGATTCCACTTTGAATACCAACGACTCTCACTCTTTAAAGTCCTTTGATCTGACAAAACGACTGGGGTTTCTATCGCCCGTTTGTGTTACACAACTGTCCGATCGATGTTTGATTTATGGGGTTTCTCAGCCGAGTGCGTAAAAACTTGGCCAAATATTGTCGATTGTGTGCTATGGTTCGCCAATTGTCCGCTTGACTTAGCTGTCTCGATCGAGGGAGTCTAGAGTGTCGTTGCTGGATGAATGCGTAAGGTCGCTCAATTCGTCCAGATGCTTCTGTCGCTTCCTCACGTTCCAGTGAAGACATTCGGCTAGCGAGTCGAACCAATCGGTGATCTGGTCGGTCGCGCAAATACTAGGCACCGGGTAAATGGAAGTAGTCACTCTCAGGCTGAAAAATTACACAATCTTCTTCATAAGACTATCCGGTCTCTGTCATAGGTGCGTTAATATAGAAATTCCACGTGGAAGCTGATATCGTCGGAAGCTTACTTTACAACAAGATCATTTTCTCGCACTTATCGAGCTGCTTTCCAATCTTTTAAGCACATTCGCAGCAAAAATTGAGGGAAATTATTTTTATTTCGTAAGATGTTTTGCATTTAAGGGAGTATTAGTTCGAGATGAAATTTTCTTGTGTGTAAAGCGAAGCCTCTTCTCAAACCCTGAGTCTCTAGAAGGATTCTATGCATGAAATGTTTCTCGCATTATGAATAATGAAAAATAAAGTACCGTCACCCCGCAGGACAGCCAACGTCTCGCTTCAGGAAGATATTTATATCGTGTGATATATCGTAAGAGATGGTCAGCGAAAAGAATATAAATTGAAATGGAGCCGGGCAACGAATTCCAAGCATATTCATATATTATTTTGATCATTCAAAAAGGAACGTGGTATCGATAAATTATACCATTCATAAAAACACAAAGCGGTGTGTCAGTCGAGAAAAAAATGATTGAAATTAAGCAAGAAAACAAATGAAGTCTTGACATGAAACGACTTAGACAAATCAATGAGAAAAATGTCATGTTTTTTATTATATCCTGTAGAATTTGCGGAAATGAAGAACTGCAAAAATGCGTCATATAATAATGCGACGAGGCGACAGAGAGAAAGGCGAGACAGGCGCGCGCTGTATGAAATAACCACGGACAGACCTGTCGCCAACACGCAGCTCTTGTTGATTGCGACCGTCGAAAGAGACGTAAGCTGTACTGCGGGCCTGGTTGTTCGCCATTATCTGGAATAATTGTAGAAAAAGCAAACGATTAGACGGGGACTGTCGGACGTTTATGTTTTACCTGTCACCGTGCAGCAGCTCTTGCCTATTTCTACCATCGAAGGACACCCATGAGGAATTCCTGCTGTCGGGTGAAACCGAGATCTGCGGTGGAAAGCAAGACGACGGTGTTAATTGCCGAGTGGTCGCAGCGGGTACCGACGACTCGCGTTCAGCACGAAACAACGTCAATCTCTCGATTCGGATCTATCTTTGTTCGAGTGCTTGCTTCACCGCTCATCGCGGACCTTCTCTTCTTTTTCTACGCACTTCGTCACGATCGTTTCGCGACGATAGCGCGTGAGAGGAAACGTGTTCTTAACGGCCGTTTAAGAATGCCCTATGTAAACTCGACGAAATTAGACAAAACTATCCTAGCTGTTCGTCCCGCCGCGGAAACAATATTCGCGACCTTAATCCGGAGTTCCCACGCGAAGAAACGAGTCGCTTCCGTCGTGTTCTGAAAAATTCCAAAGGCTTTTACGCGGAACGAGGCGGCGCAATGGTCTGGGAATGCGGGCGACGTCCGTTGGAACCAGGTTTCCTTCTACGGAGCATTGACACGGACCCGTGGCTCTCGGCGAAAGAACTTTTACCGATCGCGCGAAAATGTGGCGTCGCGCTAATTCTCATTAGTAGACGCGTTATGCGCGAACGCCTTTTCTCTCTCCGCGATCTTATCGACAGAAGCTAAAATTCACACTTCCGAATTGCTCCAAAATTTCGAGTCGACCGCTGCACAGGTTAACGGTCTTAAGATGCGCGTTTCGTCGTTCTCTTTTCTTTCCGTCAGCCATGTCACTACCTTGAGCTCGACGCCGGCAGGTACGACGATCGGCCTGAAGGACAGAGAGTGAGGACAAATCGGTGTAATCATGATGGCAGGAACTGAAGGATGCATCATACTGGCACCAGCGGCGACCGCGTAGGCGGTCGACCCGGTTGGCGTGCTCACAATTAAGCCATCGCCCTGAACGCTTGTCACGTGCTTGCCGTCAATGAAGAGATCGATGTTGGACAGGTAAGGTGAAGGCCCTCGATCTACCACCACCTCATTTAACACCAGCAGCTTCGTAGGTGGCTTATCTGGCTGACCCTCCTCGTTTCTACGCACGATGATGCACATCAGACGGCTCCTTAAAGTCAAGGCCGCGTGACCTGGTGTCAAAAAAAATGAATGCAGAATGAGGTGAAACGAACGAACTGATGAATTCAAGAAAACACTCACCTTCGAGAACGTTGGTCACTTGGTCACGGAAATTATCAAACTCGAAGGGGGTGAGAAACCCCAGAGAGCCGAGGTGGAATGCCATTACGGGCGGCACCGATTGTTGAAACAGCAGAGAAGCGTAGAGAAGAGTGCCGTCACCACCCAAGCAGATGATGAAATCAATACGATCCTGAAAACAGACAAACTTGTTTTGCAATGAAGAGTCGGGTCGAGTGCGATAAGCGAGCAAATGAACTTTAGCTTTATTATTTGATTTTCCGTCTCTAGTCATAATATGGAAAGTCGCGAGAAACATATTCCATATTATATAGCTTGTTTGAGCGAGCCGATTGTTATTACCTGCAAATCATCTCCGTCCCTAAAGGTTTGCAATTTATCACGGACTCCTTGGAATCTTGGATCTCTGGCTAAAGCCGCATCTTCCAAAACTGAAGCTTCCACAAACACTACCATTTGTTTCTCCTAAATCAGAAATGAAATTCTAGAGTTCTATTCATGAGTGTCGATTGTGAAGGCAGGTATGAATTTATGACATGTAGTTTCAGCATTTTAACTGTGATACTCCTTTCAACAGGTAAGCAAGTTATAATTCATGAATCAAGGTCGGTTATTTTTTAGTCTTCTCACAGCTTGTGTCTTTGTCTTTTGACAGCTCTCGACGCTTAACTCTCGACTTGCATAATATCTTTAATATTATGTAGCATATGTTAACTATGTTAATATATTTTAAATAAGCGAGCGAAAAAAGAGAGGGTAAGGTATTGCATTAATGCGACGTCAGGAATAAATAAAAAGAATATGATGAAAAGATACGGAAATATAAAAGCATTAAAAAATGCGCTGTGTTTTTCATGTAAATTAAGTGCAAATTCACGTTTTGTAACGTTTTATTATGGAAGATAAGCTGTTCGCGTCGATGACCAGTCTTTGCGTTAATCAATCTTCCGATTGATTATATTTTAATCTTCGTCTGGTGGTCTTTATAAATTGGTATACTATCATCAGGATATAATCACCTGTATCAGCCATGTGACCATTTCAACAAACGGCGGCAAAACCGCTGAATCGCGAACCTTCTTGATGACCAGAACGGTGAGTGGTGGTTTGTACCACGTCAACCTCTGAGAGGCTGGATCTTGGATAGCCCTGAAAGCGGAGAAAAACCGTTATACACCACCCTCTTCTAATGCATAATCATCAGCTGGGTTGGAGAACTCGTCATCGTAACTCGCTCATATCTCTTGTTACGGAGCGGAAAAACTTATCGCGAAGTTCAAAAGAGAAATGCGGATTAATGGTATTTTATGTAAGCGAAGTAACGGATCTCGCGTGTCCTTCCTGTCGAACGGCCGACCTGTCGCGCTGTCTATCGATTCTACGGGCTCATCTAATTATTCATGAGCCGCCGTAATTGCGTCCATAAACGTCAGGGAACAATCGACGCGACGGGGCAAAGGTGAGCGCCGACGAAACGCGAAAAGGTTGTGACGTATTATTGTTTTTTTCCGCTGCTCATGACCCGACGGCGATTTTGTATTGTCAGTTCTTCCGCTATTAGCGATTCCAGCGATGTGTGTATATGATTACAGCGTGATTTGACTCGCGTATTCTACTTATCTCCCTGCGAGTTCAGGTACGAGTGGCAAGAGAGAAAAAGAGAAGATTCACATTTAACTCATTACACACACACGAATCTGTGGAAACCGTCATGATCACGCGAGAAAAAGCAAAACGCGTGAATCCACGGCAATTTCTTGCGGTTTCTTCTACTTCCCGAAGCAAGACCCTTTAATTGCACAGTCTCTCTTTTCTTTCAAACCACGAGCGACCACATACAAAGCGCCTGACGCAATTATTTAACGAACACTCGAAACATACGATAAACGCGTCGATATTTTTGGCGATCACAAGCATGTATTTTTTTTTATGTCGGTTTTTTTTTATTATCGGTCAGCTGTCAATGATATGAAAAGTAAAGCCACGACCCACTTGATAGTGCCGACCATGATGCGACGATGCCGTTGCGAGGATCGCGCGCTTACTAAACGCCGCGCGTCACCGTCGCGCAGTTCATTTTTACCGCCACGCAATTGAACGCACAATTGAACACGCATGCGTTTTCTCGCGCACCGATCCGAATCGCCGCGAGTCTTCATGCTTTTTCACGTACATGGCCGCTTAATAAAAAGATGACTGCCAGACGATTATCTGTGTAAATTGTAACTTCAAATATTTATCAGTAATGCCGACGTGTATTTATGCCATTATCGCATGGCAATAGAGTTTCGCGCGCCTCTTCGAGACAAAGCGTGATGTGTGCTTCGACGACGACGACGATGACGATGATGACGATGACGTTGAGAATGTCTCGGGAATGACTCTTAAATATCTATCAGGAAACAATGTAATTGGAACAATGAACAACACGGACTTACGTTGAATTCACTATTTCGAGGAAAATCGCGGAATAATCCATATTCAGTGTAGTTTATCACTAGCGAACACTACACATGAGTTTATCAGGTGTTCGCTTCGTGTCCCGCCGGATGTGTGTGGCTTAAAAGTGCCGATGTATAATATTTCACGATAGGTAAATTTTATGAGCGGTGCAATGTTATATGTGCCACGGGATGAAAAAGTGCAGTGCACGTCGATTGACGGCCCACCTTTCAGTTCCGACCATGATGTTGGTGCCGGTTGAGGGACGCGCGTTTACTGAGCAAGCACAACTAAGTCGTGGATGTATTTCAAGGGAAGCGATGCACGTGCATGCCCGAGCTGCGCACGCGTCTGCGCATCACGTGACAGCGCGGGAAATCGAGGCATCAGTGCGTGATTCGCTGTTATGTCTGCGAGCTTGTGCGATTCGCACGCTCTTTCTTTTTAAATGGACAAAACATTACATACACGCGATTAATATTCATTATTGTGGATTTCATAATTGTTTCCTAGTATATTGATATTCACGACGATTCTGATCGACCGCGAATGCGCATTGTCAGTCTTCTCGGACTTTCTACGTAAACAGCATGGAATAAAAGAACTATGAATTGCATCTGCAAAAATTGAAGCGAAAAAGATAGAAATAGGCGTACGTCAAGTTGCAAGATGTTTCACAATTTCTATCCATCTGCTGACACATTTTTCATCTATTTGTCTAATATAAATCTTTTTATTGGCTCAGGAAAGTAAAGAGCAAGAAGCTAGGTTTCTCTCCTTTAGCACGCAATTATTCAATGATGATACGATATAGGACAATTGAGATTAGGATTAGACAGTGAATTTAAGAAGGGGATAGATGAACGTGTTAATTTTAGGTGATGAATATAATCCAGAGCTTCCCTATGAGTTGAAATTTGGGCTGGGGGGATTCAAAGTAATTTTTTAAGAAAATACATGCCACGAAAATTTTTGTTTTTTTTATGCGAGGCCTATCTAGTTCTGTTTCTATCAACTGTTTCGATCAAACCTTAATCTAAGCTGAAATTCTATTCAGCAAAGACTTACATTCACATTAAGATTTAATCGATGTTAATATAAACGGACATAAGTTGAGTGCACTGCTATTTACATCTCCTCCAGAATTACTTGATAAAATTGTATAGATAGCGAGATTACTCAACGAATCATTAAAAATGAATTTAAACCGGTGTCGATGTGTCGTAAAGTAAAGCGACACGGTCAATAGCAACACAGCATTACGGCGCGATAACACAATTGGCAAAGGAAACCGAAATACAAGCGGAAATGTCATATAGAAATTATTAGTAATATATCAATACTGCATTTCAAACGCTATGATATTGTATAAAGTCGCGCTTAGTCATCACACCTTGCAGAAAGAAACGCAAATGAGCCGCGCGATTCTAGTATGTTCGACATTTATTACACGAACGTGCCGATTACAATCTTACCGGTCTGTGATTGTGTGCTAATGAAGATGATCGTTAAGCTTAACCCTCCGAAGAAAGCGAATACAGCCCGAACGAATGAGGCGCGAAGCGTTTGAAAGATTTTTACCGCGTGTTGAAGATTAATAACTATTTTTAATCGATAATCAACTGTGATAATTGACCTATTACGATTTATGAGTATCGCGAATTTTATCGACAATAGCAATTAATGCGACCATGGAACGTTCTTGCTGAAGTTTAATTATCGATGGTAATGTCGAACAGGCGCGTGAGCGACAGCGAAGGACTGTTAGCGCGACATAAACGCGTGTTTTAAAATGTAGATCGACATGGATGATAGATCGAAAGAGCATGCGTTCGAGAATATTTATGAATAATAAAAATATCCGTTTCTAATGTGATTATAGATCTAATGTGATAGAAATACGTTCGATGGAGCAATTAATCAGACATTTCTTTCAACGCCATTTTCCCCTGCAAGTGGAACAGCAAAATGGTTACTTACACAATTGACGCGGAATTTTTCATGATACGCCCGCATCGCCCGAACAGTTGATACGGATTGGGTGCATTTAAACTCCTTGTCCTCCTGAAATAGAAAAGAAGAACGAATAGATTAGAGAAATATTTTCTATTCATCTATAATTAATTTCTATTTAATCTATCATTTTCTATTTATTTTCATTATTCGACACATCGATGATCGTGCGTATAATGTTGCGCTCGTGGTGCGGAAAAGAAAAAACTGGTAAAAACTAAGGTTTGCACAATCAGCCTCACGTTTCACATATTAATCACGACTGAGTCGAGTCAAGGCGATTGCCGCTCTTGACATTATTACTTATCGATACACGCACGAGTTGCAATTACGACGCACTAGCGTGCCGTGTGAGTTTTTCCGACTCTTTATCGTCAAACACCTCGCGTCATATTGGCCTAACAAAAGTCAGACGGCGACACGTCAGGTGCATTTCTCGTAAGGTAACACATTTTACAGCGAAATTATTCAAATTCGTCAATTTCTATTTCTTATTCCACAATCCTATTCCACGATCTTCGTGCTGTAGTCAAACACGAGATAGATCCGGGAATTACTACGATCAAACACACGTGCTAAAAATAGACTTATAACAACCCACACAAGATGTCGGTTGCGAAACACATTGTATCGTAAATAAACCATAGAAACGAGGAAAACTGCTTGAAAACTTAATCAAACATTTTGGTCATCATTCTAATCTACTTGGAAATAGAAAGGAGAAATAATGCACAAATATATATTATACAGATGAGGATTTATCGCAAGTATGGAATATCATCTCATACTTTAACAAAAGAGATTGTTCTTCCGGTATATTGCAGATTTGCGTTATAAATCTGTAACCCCGTATAATACTTGTGTATTATCTCTTCTTTTCATTTTCACTGAAGAGAGTCGGGATGATAACCAAAACATGTGGTTGTTTTTCGAGGAATTCGTTGATTCTTTTCTTGGTTGCTTTGTGAATATAATGTGTTTCGCAATCGACATCTTGCGTGGGTTCTTATTGGTTTTTTTTTTTCTAATCTGTACTGTGTATCTGAGAGTCTGATAATACGGAACTGCTACGGTTTCACAACTACGCACTGTTTATATATCGGGTGTCTCCAGCAAATATCCCATCGAACTCCAAGATCGAACTCCTATTTTTAAGAGCGTGAGTCTTTGTGAATCGTTAGCCGCTGGAAAGCGGCATTTATGGCTCGCGGTGGCTAAATGACTATGTCTAAGATGTCTACCTGAGAACACGAATTTGCGGGATATTCGTCATCGACGACACGTTCGATCCGTTGCACTCCCACTCGACGACGTCGCAGATGTCATTGTCCGGCATACCGTCACTATCGTGCGAGGCTAGGCTCGAATCTGTCATCTTATACATTAGCGGATGACAGCGCGTTTCTTAGACAAAACAGAACAGTGCTTCGCGACAGCGTGCGCGATGTACTTCAGGGTGTTCGCGATGCAATTAACGATGACTAACAAGTCTCGACTCGCTGCGAAAGATTCACAAGAGTTGATCAAGTTCACAGTGAGTATCGTCGGGCGCTGATAAGATATCACGATTTATCGTGATTAGTATAGCACAGTTGTTTTAAACGCTGATTATTTTGAAGATAATTGATATTCAGCAGACTGTGTGATGTGTGAATCGGCGAAGTAGCCTTGGGGCGAGCTACTAGGCGCGCGGATCGTAGGAGTACGCGAGATCTTTTGCCAAACTTATTTATTCTGAGATCCACGTGAGATCAGCAAGGACCATTACGGTTCTCGAAATCAACGCTGTCGGCAGTCCGTTTCACCGTTTGCTCTGCGACTCGCGACGCTTACGATAATATATCTGCAAAAATACGATGACAAACCGTCATACTCCCGAGGCAATTCGTTCCGCCATGAACGCGACGTCGTGATAGTCATTCAGTTTCGTTCCTTTCTCATTTCAAACTTTCCACCTTTTACTTTACTCAATTTGTCGGAGATTATTAGGCAGATGACTCTCTTAGAGTGTCTTGCAATTTCACGGTTACAAAGTATGCGACTTTCACGAACGCGATTAGATTTCTACACTCAGTTCCAATCGAATCATGAGCGTTTTCGTCTTGAATGGACGTCTGAACTTCAAAGATCGACCTTGTATTGTATGTTTACTCCACGATACTTTGCGATTTGCAGATATCGTCACGACGACTCCGAGATCGTGCTTCAAAGTCAGATCTTTCGTTATCTTCGAGTGTATCGATTGAAACACGACTTCAACTGTGATCTTGTCCAGTTTATGTTGCACAAACGATATTTTATATGGACTTTACTTCACCGTTACCGCATCTCGATTTTTTTAGCTTCTGACTAGAAGAAGCATTCAGCGAGAAGAAGTCAAACATAGTTGTGCATCAAGTAAGACAAAATACAAGCGTCGTAAGATACGATCGAATAGCGGTCTCAAATCGATGTATCGAACTCGCGTTAAGGGAGAAACGTATTTGCATGAAAACACTTTGGTGAATAAGTCGGTCTACCACGCGAATAGCAAATTGCGCGGACCTTGAACTTCGCGCGAAACTTTGCGCCAAAGCTACTTCGATTTACCGCGCGATCTCTCCTGTTTAACTCAGTATCTCGATATAGACATCGTGACATCGTACGACTAACGTGTACTTTCGATTTGAATATTCTCTAAGTCACTGCCATTGAATCACCATTAAAACCGGCAACAGCACCAACAACGCGCACTCAGTCTTCCGGACGCGACTTGTCGTACGCGAAGACCACTGGATATTAAGTGCGGGACCGTCGCACAACGATCTGCTTATTGACAGTGTATTTCTAATGACGATGTCGAGCTTGTGATTGGCGAGCGGCCCAAGCGAGGAGTAACGCACGGAATGGATCACACATGGATCACTGAATAGTGGGCGACTGTGAGATACCAATTATAAGGAGATGATTGCAGTTTTGGCGGTCGGTAAACGATCCGTTAGTGAGGTTCGCGTCGATGCTTCGCGACAGGTGGTAACGATTCCGATTGCAGCCACGCGGTGCCGAAATAATTCTAGAGCTGAATTCGCGAAGAGAGGAACACGAGTCGCGCGGTGTCGGTGCACTCGAGGCGAAATGCGAGGATATTTTTGTCGTCCGTTGGTCGCTGTACCTCCTCTACGATCGCGTAGTTATTTTTTCTTGCTCAAGGCACACATACGTGCTGATGTAACAGCGCTTTCTTCGTGCGCGGTGGCGTAGTTACGAGAGCAAGCGCTCGGCGAGAGACACGCATCGCCCTTTAAAGCTGCACGCTGTCTCGCAGGCAAATAGGATGACTGGCCGCGAGATATCGGGATAAGCGCGAGACCTCGAGAAAATCGAGAGAATTGACAATCATCGTTCCTGACAGGCCAATGATATCTGTCGGTCTCGCTTTTGCAACAGTCGCTCCTTTTCTCCAGCTAAACGGTGCAGTTGACTTCCGTTGTTAACTCCTTGGAATCGTTGGGATAGGTCTAGTCGCCGAGGCGCATACTTTTTCTTCTCAGTTTCGTCTGACAGATCACACGAGAAGAAACTTTCTCCTGTGCTCGGTTAAGAAACACTACTGGAACGCTTCGTCTTTGAGCAACTCGAAAGTTCCCTCACTCGAAAACAGCTCGTATCACGATGAGCACATGTCGACATGCCGCGTTAGTTAGGCAGCCCGTTAGATTCTAAGGTAACGTTGCGACAATCATACCAATCGCTGCGATAGGGCCGAGGAGAGTACACAGGTGCATCCGCAGCGACGGGATTGACGATCGCAACGCGAGACTCGATCTTCGATTCGAAAAGCGACCTGGCCCGCGACGAGACGCGCGGGCCGTTTGGCCCCGACCGGCGAAGAGAAAACGGAGAGAACGCGCGGTTCGGTAATCGATTGCATCGGGCGTAAATTCTTGAAATTCCGCGCAATGGAGGCGCCATGAGCGAGCCGTACGGGAGCCCATCGAGCAAAAGCCGGATCGGATGGAATGTGCGGCGAAAGGTGAACGCGTTCTCGCTCTCGAAGAAAGGAGCAACAAAAAGTGCTCCCGCGGCGTTCGTGATTCGAGCGGATGCTGGCTGAGGTACACGTGCAGCTAAATATCAGTACGTAATTTCGCGTAGACCATCGCGAGAGATGGACACTCCGAAAAGCAGGACGATCGTCGTGATGTCACGTTTAATGTCGTCAGCCACGTATCGTCGGGAAATTGCACTTTTACTCCAAGTGGACACAGATGGCACGTCGTGTTGTCATGGAAGATGAGTCGTATGTGTGTGAGACAGCGCGAAATCAATCGTTACCCTCTCTCTCTCTCTTTCTCTCTCTCTCTCTCTCTCTCTCTCTCTCTCT